GGGGGAGGACGGGCTTGGGAGGGTCTCGGGGGCGAGGCGGGAGGCTGTTCAATGAGGGAAGAAAAGAAGTCTTCTGAGCTCCCAAACCCATTTCACCCTCCATCTACAAGCTCACATAGCCATCATACGATGGATTTATTAAATAAACAAAAATAATTTCCAGGGGGTTGACATTCAGCCCATCGTTCAGCAGGGGATATTTTGATTATCTCGCGCCGTACAAGGCAGCTTGATGTCCCTTTTAAGCCGTAAGTCATGACCCTGATATCGTTTCATGAGACAATCAACATCATATCCCGCTTCGAGTACAGCGCGAGTCGCCCTAATTTCGTATTGATGCCGGGCGGTAGGTAGATCTGTTGCACAATCTAGGGCACCACGTTTAAGTAATAGTTGCAACCCAATGCGATCTGTGGCCCACACAGGTGCTTGCACATGCATCTTATCGTCGCAGCTGATGGTACATCGCACAATTATGTTTATGGAATATCCGCTCTTGGAGATATTATCGCTGGTGGCTTATACAATTCGATTAATGCAGGAGTTTGCACTCGAAAAACTAATTAGAGGAGGGCATCTACATATGTGTGTCCTCTATTTGCGCGGGCGCATTTGCATCTTCTGCCCAAGGGAAAACAATCTTTCACGTTTGGTTCTTTAAAATCTCTTGCTCAGGCATGACGAAAATATGGACCTCCTTGTCGAGAAGATGATATCTTCTCACCTGACTGCTGGTCCTCTTCTACTGGCTCTGTCATTCTTAGGCAGATCCACGGACTCACACAGGAAGGGAAACTTTTCATAGAAAATATGAGAGCAATCTACGCTTCCATAGAACCATACGTCTGCAACATACACGAGCGAATGTCGGGATTTTTTCCGGGTGCAGGTAGGATGATAAAGAAGTTGATAAACGGAATGGACATGCACGCATTCCATGAAAAACTTCGACCAAAATTGTTGATCATTTTACACTTTATATTTCTTACTTTATTCATACTCATTTATCAATCCGTGCTCGAATGCGCTTAAAGGAAAAATCGAGAGTTTCGCATCTTATTAAACTGTCCTTCATTACCCAGGCTAAATAGCTTTCGGCATGGAGATGCTTGGTTGGATTCTCCTCCATGAAGCGGTCAATGTCATTCTTTCGATACCCATAGACACTCATCACATCCGGAGTTCCAAGGGCAAATCGGTCGTTCATGCCGCCGAAAACGTCAAAATTGGGAGAGAAGACTGTTCGAGGCCACAATATTCTTTTTGAATGTTCTTCATCGATTACATCCAAGGTATCCGCTACGGGTAAAGGGCTCTCAAACAACAAATCTGGTCTAACGTAGACTACTGCTTGGTAACGATCGCCGGTGGAGGGGCTCTTCTCCCACAGACGGGTCACTGTCTCCAAGCTGTAAAGTTGCCGAAGGAAATAGAACATGGACAGGCCCTCGTTCCTCCAAGGATCTCCGTGGCTTAGATAAAAGTTGAGGGGGCGAAATGATCTATCTGCAGCTTTGGCATCTTGTGTGATCGAGATATTCCTTATTTTAACGCCAGGCAGCTCCCGCAGCTCGGAGAATATCAAATTGAGTGAGTCGGCAACATGCAATGTCACATTCTTTTCTAGGTTTCTAGGATTATGGAATGAAACTATGTTGTACGTATGCAAGTAGACGTCTATGCTCGGAAAATATTCCAAGAGGGGTCGCATGACGTTATCTATAAAACTGGTCAGCTGCACGTGATTTACATTTTTAACTTGCCCGAAAAAGCACAGAGCTACTCTTGAAACAAATTCGGTGTCTGTGTCTCTTTCCCTCGACAGATGAGTATCAATAATGCGCGCTATATCGATTAATGGTGCTGTTAGAGGGATATCGGTAGGCCTCATCAGAATTATTCATGCAAAGATCCCCAAGCAATGAAATCTACTCACGTGGATCCATGGTTGAGAGACGGAAGATTTCTTCGTTGTAGCGTAGGCTGGGTGCAGGCTCTGAAATGGTATGATTCTTGAGAACTTGATGAATACTAGACGTAACGGTTGCTTGTTCTTTTATCTGCGCGATATCATCGAAGCGAAGATGACCCTGAATAGGAGAGATTGTTTATTGCAGAAGGTGAGACCGTTTTTCAGCTGGTCACAGTCACCACCTCAGCGTAGAACTTGCGCACCTGCGAAGTTATTGTTAATAAGATGACCAATATGATCGTCATAGCTGCAACCATGAAGAGTTGAAGATGGACACTTCTCCGCTTGATTATTAGGGAAGAACTTTGATGGTCTGACTCAAGCCTGAGCGACTTGTCAACCTTCCTCATTTCTCTACTAAACTAGAGCAGACACCTGATACAATCTCAAAGAGGAAGGAAATACCCGAATTGAAAATTTATTAGGCTTCTAGGACCTGTCATAATTTCGACTGACTTTGAAGACCTAAAGAGAAGCGTCTGGCACTTATTTACAGGTACCACTTGCTGGCTAAGACATGTTTACCACACAATATGACCACCAGCTATTCATTGTCTCTTTGAATGCCGTCAACCGAACCTTTATGTACACCATTCCATTATACTTGATTCTATAAGCTGTCATTACTCGCCACTCGGTTGACTGGTTGGCTGTAGCGCTTAGTATGCGAAGCTGCCAGATGATATGGGCAAACCGTTTTCCATGACGGAGTCGTTTTCAAGCGCCGTTACCGCTGTTGGAGGAATCGTGTTGTAGAACAGCGTGAACACTTGACCAGGTTTGACACGACATTACTACTTCCTTACTCTCAACTTTCTCACGCACATAATAAAATCGTACATCTATATGCTTCGTCCTCTTATGCGTAATCGGATTGTTGCTCATCGCAATGCAAGCTTGATTATCCTCCATAATCATGGTAGGTTTATCTTGCTTAAATCCAAGGTCCATAAGTAGTTGACGAATATAAATTGCCGTTTGTGTCGCTGAACAAGCAGATATTAGCTCCGATTCAGCAGACGACAGAGCCACCACCTCTTGTTGCTTGGCTCTCCAATCAATCGTATTAACAATTGCTCCATGACTCAATGTAAAAGCATAACCAGACGTTGAACGTCTGTTATCTTTATCACCAGCGTAATCCGCGTCCGCGTATCCTACCAGGGTAAACGATCCCGTAGAATTACCTGTGTAATTGAGTCCGACCTCACGAGTACCCTTCAGGTACCTCAATACCCGCTTTGCAGCAATCCAATGTTCTTCATTTGGTCCTTGCAAGTGTTTCCCCAACGACTGTACTGCAAATGCAATTTCCGGACGTGTTACCAGTGCTGCATACAATAAGCTACCCACTAGATTCATGTATCCACTATCTGGCTTGATTTCCTTGTCATTCGTTTTCGTCAGTGTTCCTTCCATCGGTGTTAATACTGGTTTGCAATCAGCCATTCCAAATTTATTGAGTACCATATCAATATAAGCCGTTTGAGAGATTTCCATAACTCTCTTTTCTCGATCACGTTTGATTGCCATACCAAGTATCCAATCGAGCTCCTTCAAGTCCTTCATGCTAAATTCCTTTGAAATAGCGTGCTTGAATTTATCTACCATTTCCCTGGAGATACTAGTGATAATTAAATCGTCCACATATAAGACGATAACCAATATTTCACCACTAGATCCAAACTTCACATATAAGTATGGATCCGCAGAAGAAGAATGGAAACCGTACCCTCGGAACCATCCATCAATCTTCTTATGCCACTTACGTCCAGATTGCTTCAGGCC